TCTCTCTCTCTCTCTCTCTCTCTCTCCACTCACACTAGACTTCAAAACAAAATTCATCATTTTTTATGAAAATTTTTCTCAAAACGTTTTAAAACATTCAATGCCTAAACACCTGAAACACCAAATAATAGCAATAATAATACGAGTGATAGTATTATAATTTAATGTTTTAATGTAACGTAAGAATTGGTTGCTTTACTTATGCATTCATATTCATAATAATATTGAACAGAACCGTAGTGTAGAGCCAAAGGCCTCTCAATTATAATTAAATATAATTATCGGTGACATAAATACGTGCAATCATTTTCTCTTAATATTAATGCTTTTTATTTCTCTTTCTATATCTCAATGTCGTTGAGAATAAAATTTAAATAAGATTTGAAGAGTAAGTGTTATGTATATAATGTGGGGCAGTGTTGGCAAAGACAGGAAAGGCAGGAATCATAGGAAAGCATTACAACAAAGATACTGCGATGACTGCCTTGTGAGCGCAACCACATTAACGGGTAAAATAGCCCGACAATCATAATGTGCTGTACATTATAGACACCGATCATTATAACAGCAACGACTCGCTTCTAACACATCTTATATATGGGCTAATAGTCTAATCATTTCGTATTAATTGAGACCAGAGTTCTGTCAAAATTGGATGCAAAATGAGATGTGTTTTTAAAAATAACTGTTGAAATAACTTTAATTTTATTTCAAACAATTTTATATTTAATACCAATTTTAATTTAGTTATTGCCATTAAATATAACTAAATATACATAAATCTGTTTTTATAAGTATTATGTAATATAATAGCAATGTAATGGAATTAATTATAAAAATTAATTAATTTTAATAGCAATCTAATTATTTTAAATGCAAATAAAAATCAAAACAATATTATTTATCAATATTACAAATCAATTGATGTTTTATATAATTTATGACATTTCCATATGAAATATCAAATGTATTTATTAAATAATTAATACATATATAAATAGATCTCAAAATTGCAATTTCAAATAATTTTGTAATTAAAACAATATATTATCTAATATTCCAAATAAAATCATTGTTTAATTTGTTTTATCAATAATTAAATGCATAAAAGTTGCCAAAAGTCTAGCAATAAGTGATTTGTTCGCCACTCATATCAATGAGACTTTTAATACAATAGTTATTAAATGTATAGATATTATTAAAACAAATGATGAGATTATTAAGCCTTCAAATGAATTTTGATAATCAAACAAACATTTTGCAGGAAAAGGAAATGTAAAGAATGAGATCTATTTTGAGGTCAAAATATTGATTAATGTATTGTAAAAGTGGTAAAATTGGTGCCAATATTGTGCTGCCATTTATTCTTTACCGGAATATTAATGTACAGAAGTGTACGGTATATACAGGTATCGCATAGTGTAGTATTGAGTATAACTTTTAAGTTATAACACATTTTGATAGTTAATGGATGTTAAGGAGAAACGAGAGATTGAAAAAAATGCGCGAATGCTGTCTAACGTCTAATAAGTTTGCAAACCTATCATTAGTAAAGCAATGGATTTTTAATAAGACTTTAGTAGCGGTGAAGAAGCAATATTAGTAGAGAGTAATGAAAATAACTTAAGATTCATTGCTAGCCTTCCTTATGATATGCTGTTATAAAGAGTATAAACATTGAATATTTCTATATATTTCTCAATTTGCGACCCAATCCAAGGTTTCGCACAATTACTTAACACGCAATACAATGCAATTGAATTGAAAATGCAATCAAATGCCAATACATTAGTCCTCCTCTACTCCTCTACCACTATAGCCATAGACACGCAATCGTTTGAATCATTTGCAACTTTTCTCCAACCACTCCAACACTCACTCCAATACATCCAATATATATGTGTATACAATATAATCGTTGCGTTTGACGCTTAAATATCCCAAAACTCATTAAATGTAACTTTACTTCACTTACAGTTCTAATAGATATAGATATAAAGATGTAAAGATTTACATCAAATTCTGTATTTATATACAGTATATGTTAACTGAATACAAGCATCACAAACATTGCAAACATAGTAACACTTAAAACATTACCCATTTTAACGTCTAATTTGCAAAAAAGCAAGAAAAAAATAAAATGAAAATTTTCTTTGAAATTTCCAAGAGTTTGGATGTGATGTGTGTTGTGTTGTGTTGGCGATCAATTCAATAGAAATTATTTGTTAAGTGACATCACATAAAAGGATTTAAGGCAACAGTTCTCTGAAGGTCGATAATAGACAGCCGGAGAGAGAGAGAAGGACTAATGTATTGGCATTTGATTGCATTTTCAATTCAATTGCATTGTATTGCGTGTTAAGTAATTGTGCGAAACCTTGGATTGGGTCGCAAAAATACTGTATATAACGTTATATTACATCAAACAGTTGGTGGTTATGGTATGCATTGTGTTATGAACTCTTATACAACAACTACAGTATATTCTCTGTGTTGAACGAGATATACAATTCAGAGAGAGAGCGAGAGAGAGAGAGAGAGAGAGTTTGGTGAGAGTGGAGAGTGAGTGCGAGAGGAAGAGAGAGAATGAAGAGATGATTTTATTTTTGAATTTAATGTAAGACAAGGAAGAATCGAGCGTTTAATGTGAACGTATAGCTGATTGCATGTCAGTAATGTTGGTAATGCCTGAAAATGTTAGTAAATGTTAACTAATGCTAAGCCTTATCTAAACGCAAGGTCTAAATCTTCATGTTTTCGTTACTCACTTATTGTTATCATTAGTTTTTCTTTTTGTTTTTAGTTTTCATAACAATTTTCTCTAGTTTTTCCGAATTATGACTTTTCTCACGAAACTTTAAATAATAAAAAATTGTAAAAATTGTAATCCGGATTAAAGACATATTTCTCTCAATTAAATGCATCCAATGTTTCGCTTTTCTTAGTTTTATCGAAAATGAATATCTTTTCGATTTGAATCAAATACTGACAGTCAGTATCTGTATGTCTGTATGGACTGGAATTTTCTTGTGTTCCAAAAACTAGCAATTATTCAAAGCATTTAAATAAAGAAAATTGTATTTTGTTTTCTTTTCTCGCTATATGTCTGAGATGTGAAGTCTCACAGAATTCTTACACAACATATATTCAGCATATCGTAAGGCAGACCACAAAACACCACCAAAAACGAGTTGTAGTGTACTGTCGGCTCCATTAAGGGCAGAGCGCCCTATTGGCAGCCCTACACATACCCCACAACTATTGCCAATACTGGCTTCAAAAGCCATGGATTTCATAAAATCTGATGGATTACTCGTCAAGAAAATGCCTGCTATAAAGTGATGCATTTAATGGCAACCATTTGGCCGCCGCTTCCGTACCATTTAGAGCCCTTCCAAATCACTATTACATAATCACTGATTAACTCCACTTCAAACACAATCAATAAAAAACAATTCATAACAACAATAACAACATTTCTCTCAAAACATTTTACTCTCAAATGTTGAAAAAATTTTGGCAAAAATTGTCTTAAAAACTTTTTTCATACATTTGACTATCACTTGACAAACATTCATAACTTATATATTTTCAAACACTGTATACAATAAGTGTTGAATTTATTACGCTTTAAACGGTTTTAGTTTCAAGTAATGCAACATTTATTCTCGTTTTAAAATATATAAATCACTTGAATGTTAGGATTACTTGAATTATGAGAGAAATCGTATTGTTTTGAATGCTTATAAAGAGAGAAGAAGACGGGAATCAAGTTATATAAGAATGTGGAGAAACGATGCATCAGAGGAACGGTAGTCCTTAAAAAGGATCAGAGGTTAAATATACTGAGCATTACATTAGCATCGAGTGAAACACTAAACAAAACCTGAGGCCAAAATGCATAAAAGTTTGCATTTATAACTATGACATATATTGCAATATAATGTAGTTTGTCAACCACCAATACCATACGTAACACAATACTTGAGAATATGTTGTTGATGTCATATAAGAGACACAACTTGCTCTATATGTTAAGTCTCTCTCTCAGAGGGAGAGGGAGAGAGAGAATAATCTCAACTATAAAGTATTAAAATGCATATTATTATAGCATAATGATTTTGGGCTGTGATGTCAACTACTATTGCACAACAATTATGATTAGAGCACAGGCTATGAGATGATTGTGGCTAAAAATAAAGTGGTCAATGGACTAGTGTTTCCTATTTGGCCATTCACTACATTGCATACAACAGTTAGAATAGGGCTCTAGAATTAGACTATCATTAAGTGAAAACTCATCAAAAACTTCTGAGAGATTCACCTCAACTCAAATCAAGTGGGCTTTAAATGTGTGTAAAGTAGGACTTCTCAATTGAAGGTGGAAAAGTGCTCCGGGCTATAGAGTTGGTTCTACACTACACTTTACTGTATGTTTATATAAAGAAGTTGGATATATGGCCCACCATTGCCTACCATTGCTCAACATTGTTCATAATAACGCGTAATTGCTTTTCTTAATCACAACTTATTTATACTTATATTTAACTTCCCATCAAAACGATCCGAAAAAGACTTTTACATTTGGAGTTAATTTTGAAACTTCTAATTACGGAACAAATTTTTCGGATGACAATCGTTACAGCATTACAGCACACATACCACAGATCCTTATAGTGTGTATAATGTGTGTGAGTTTTATACAGTATATACAGTACCGGAGAGCGAGTGTTGTGTGTAATGATTTTGATTGTAACCCATTTACAAAAAACTACATCATTTGCATTGCATTACATTAACGAGTAATACAACTCCTTAGCGATTGTGTGCCGTAATAGCGGCTTAAAGAGAGTGGTTGAGAGGGTATGATAGGTATGATAGGTCTGAGTGGTTGTGTCAGTGCTATAAGTGATGCAAACGATCACTACTCGAACCAATTATAAATATATTAATCATTTCATTTTCCAATCTAATCGCTGTTATTCACAAATCTCTGTGATTTCTTCAAATATATTTCAATATTCAAACATACAATTATTTCCTCCATTAAAACTGCATTTATAGCACTAATGAATGCACTCTTTAGGCGAAACCTCTCTATTATAATCATTTCATAAAAGATTTGAAACCAAAAGCTTTAGTTATTTTTTGGATTTAATTTTAACTTTTGGTTCATTAGAGTCTCAAAAAGATATGAAAATCTATTTTAAAATAAGTGAACAAAAATAGCAATGAAGGAGAAGTGAGGCATAGAGTAGTGTATGGGATGTGAGACATACCGAGCATTTTGCTGAGATCGGCGTTATGCAGGTCCGGGTTCTCGTCCGCCAGTCTCTTGCGCTCAGCCTTTGCCCAAACCATGAATGCATTCATCGGTCTTCTAATCCTTTGCTCCACACTTTGCGGATGACCGCCAGTCCCTCCGCCTCTTCCCACACCTTTGCCCCCCATATGTGTTGAGCCCAACTTCAGACTCATGTGATGTGCGTGAGTCACGTGATTGCCTGTCAGTGACATATCTCCGGCCATACTTTGGTGACCGCCGTATAAACCTAAAGGACTGGAGCTCTCGTGTTCGGACGGGTAGTTCATGTCGTGCTCCCGATGGTAGGGCCAGTCTATGGGCGCACTTTATTCATCGGTCTTCTAATCCTTTGCTCCACACTTTGCGGATGACCGCCAGTCCCTCCGCCTCTTCCCACACCTTTGCCCCCCATATGTGTTGAGCCCAACTTCAGACTCATGTGATGTGCGTGACAGTCACTGTATAGAGGCCGGTATGAAACCACTGGCGGCATATTTGGATTTCCTGACCTCGAGAGCACAAGCCTGCCCATCAAGTACAGCACGAGGGCTACCATCCCGGTCAGATACCCGCGTGAAACAGACGTGTCGTTATATATGGTATACACACTGTTAGGAGTGGAGGCGTCGGTGTTGTGCTGACCACCCATACTATTGGCCCCTTTGGACGGCGAGAGTTGACTTAAGACATGTCCCTCGCAGTGAGAGTAAGGCGATGACAGCGCCGACGAGTGGACAGTCAGCTCATTGGACATCGGCTCGTAAGAAGCGGGGGATGCCATCACTTCTTATTAAAAAAAGTTCTTAAAAAAGTTCCTAAGATTTTGATTAAAAAATATAACGAAAACACAAATAGGAGTAAAGTTTTGTAAAAGTTTGCGAAGTTTTGAAGTTTGGTTTTGACTGTTGAGTTGAGTTAACTGTTATTCACGCCGTACTCAACACAACACTGATCTCTAAGAGCGGACGTGTTTTACAACTTCAACAAACTATTCACAACTCTATACCCAACGAACGCAATCAAAAAACTATTGTTATCTGCCTTTTGCTGCTGCCATCTCTCCATCACTCCCTCCCTCTCCACCAACAGCTCTGCCCTTACATCCCATCCAAGAAGTTATCCCACTATAGATCGCATGATATAATGCTTCAAACGCTTTAATCAATGATATTGTATGAGAGAATGGGTCGACTGTTTAACGCCAGCTTTACCTCCACTGTCTAGTTGTCAGAATTCACACAATTAGCCAAATGTGTAATTTTCAAATCAATTACAGCCAACTGATGGACAGACGCGTTGCACAGCCCTAACAGCCCTCACAGAACATCACAATTGCTCTCTCGATCGGTTCATGACCACGAGACAGAGACTTATGTATGAGAATAGTGCTTAATGCTCATAGAGTATGAAGCATACGGAGATTTATACTCAAGTAAAGAGTTTGAATTTTGAAGTGAAGTTAAAGTCAGTAAATATTTATTTCATGTTATTTCGCTTCTTATTATTTTATTCATTCATTTATTTTTGAAAATGTTTTGTCTTTTTCTAAAATTAATGTCAGATTAATATTTCTATCGTTGATATATTGCTTATTATTTTATTTACATCTAAATTATTTTAATATAAAAATAATGTTTTGTTTGTTTATTTAATTTTTATTTTAAAGTTAAGTTATTTTTAAGTTAATTTAAAATATAAACTTAATAATAATAAAAATAACTTAAATTGAAACTTAAAAGTATTCGAATACTTAAAATTGAATAATTTTATTACTGGCAAAATGGTAGTTGTGCGCTTTTTAATGAACCAGGTACAAACACATTTTCTTAAATCTTTGTACAAGAGGCCTGAACTAGGAATTAGTTTTATATATGATATACACTTTGGTAATAATTACATCCAATCTTATTGGCCAATAGTGTCCGGCACTCAGACATGAGTTAACATAGGAATCAGGACTTTAAGGACACGCAAGTGATGAACACTTATTTGTTGGTTAATTAAGAGAAAAAATTATTTGATATAAATGATGACAACAAGAATTCTCTCTCTCTCTCTCTCTCTCTCTCTCTCTAATTAAATGTGCATCAATAAACTTATACATTTACTTAATATACTGTAGGAAATGATAATAGTCATAATGACCTATAATATAAAGTGTATATAAGTGTTTACTTATTAAGATCATGTACATTAATTACAGAATAAATATAGAATATAATGTATTCTCTATAATAAATGTTCCCAAAACATACAATTGTATTAATGTTATATTTTATAAAAAACATAAAAATAAAACACAAGTGATATAATTTTTTTATTTAGTTATATGAGATCAAACTAGTTGAATAATCCTATAAACCACACTATATATACAGAATTTTGGCTAACAATATGGAAATCATCGATGTAGACACAATCCTCCCCAGCACCATGGTCACTCCATCGGCCAGTAATGTATTGTATATGAATGGCTTGTGTCATACATGCAGTCAATACGAAACTATAACCCGTCGGAGTATCGTTAAAAAGCCATTGTTTATTAATACCCTGATGATTATATTTTTGATTGAGTTCATTACCTCGACGCTTTTTGTCTCTGATACTAACCATACCATTAAACTACTACTAGGTGATTGGGCTTATTTGCAAGGCTTTCAAATACATATTAACATTTTCATAATGTTGTGGGTTATTATGCATATATTCCTTCACTTATTGTATTACCATAACTATAAACGTGGTATAAAACCAACATTTCTGGCACTGTTTGATATGTTTGCCGGTTATATAACACCCGCACAGTTGGGTCTCAACGATAACCGAGTGGTGTATACGATGGCCAAGAGATCACGTGTTTTGTTTAGATTTTTGCATTTTGTAGACAAGTATTTATGGTTCATAAGTTTTACTTATGTGTTTCTATTATACGTCAATAGATGTACCATGATGGAAATAATCATTTATGGTATACCGCAAAGTGTACTATTTGGCCTGGTTAATTTTAATGGAATTTCTCAGATCGTTGCTTTAGTAATACATTTCTATCTCATTTGTCTGTATCTTAAATGTAAAATACATGTCATTACCAATAATATACGCAAACATTTGCTAAAAGACAAAACATTTAATTCAATATTCATTAGGAATACAATTAATTCATTGAACAGAATATACATTGAGATCAATGAGTATAACATCGCGTATTGGTCTCAATATATCGCTATATTATGGATATTTTTGGGGACAATTGTTTTGCTTATAGCATATGTATTATTATTTCAAGACTTGCCACTAATACTCCGGATCATTTACCTATATGGCCAGGCCGTTGTGATTTACCCATTTATGATCACCATATTTTTATCGGCGGCAATAAACCATGAAGCAAAACAATTAGGGATATTATTGCAAAAGTACTATGCTCAAAAATGTGTGAATTACATTCAAATATACGCTAATCGCCGACAAATGAAGCGTAAAATTAATGCCGATATTAGGAAACAATTGCTAGTAATAGACAACACTCGACGTCCGTTGAAATGAATGTATCGTACAGTATATCTACTGTAAAACTAATGTAGTGTTGCCAGACGTTCCATTGAATTTTTAAACAATCTACAAGTTTTACGAAATTTAAATGTAAATTTATTTTATTTCGAGATGATAAATATTTTTAGCTAAAATTTAATAATGAACATTTATTATTTTAATATAAAAAAACATTGTACAATTTTAAAATTACAAATGATGTAAACTATAATTTGTCATATGTGTGATCAATAAAATCAATGTTTGTCTAAATAAATATTTGTTTGATTTTTGTTTACAGTAATTAGTTAATGACAAAAACATTGTCAGCAAAATTAAAATAAAACTATTTGAAATTAAATGATTATATAAAACATAACTAAATTATGTAATAATAATATTGTAATATTACATTCAATAATGTCATTACACAATTATAAATATACTAAATATAGTTTAAATATAATATAAATTGTATTCAATTTTATACAATGTCTATTAGTTGCCAAACAATTTTAGGCTTTATTAATAATTTTCGCTTATTTTGAAGTCTATTACTTTTCACTTGTATGTGATTTACACAATGTCTGGCAGAATATTTAACGAGTATATAATATATTTTATTAACCTTGGCATTTACCGCAGCCGATATAAACAGGGTAAACATTAGTGGATAAGTAGCCAAAAATAGTGCATAGATGAAAATGATGCGGATGGAAAATGGTATATTTTGAAATAAAACAACATGGCCAAATAGCAAGATTAGTACCGCAGATATTAGCCATAGTATAGCGATATATTGAGACCAATACGTGATGTTATACTCATTGATCTCACGATAAATACTATTC